TTGGTTCTTCCTGCTCAGGGCTTCAGGGTTTCTGCTATGGCAATCCGTGGCGAGGGTGTTGGTTTCACCAGTAGCCCTAAATCCCAATCCCCTGGCAAAGTTGTCGCTTGGGACGGTTGGATCAACAACCAATGCCAACGGCATTAACACGGGAGCTCGCGCTCAGGACAAGCTCAGCCTCAAAGTAGCAAGGATAGCTAGCAGCAGCTAGCAATTGCGCAAGTCCAGACAGTTCGGGCAAAGCTGCTCGAGCTCCGAAAGGTCAAAGGAACCCACAACCCAGCAAACTTCGTGACCAAGCACCCCAAGGCTGGCCCGGAGGTGGGGGGAGCCTTGCCTCCCATAGGCACCATAGGCATGCCTGACCTTGATGCCGTGGAAGGGGCCGGGGGAGCTTTGGCTCACATTGGCTGGACTACAAAGAAAGAAAACGAACAATGCAATGCACAACTCGATATGAAGGCCCAACACAAAGTGCCATCCGTACCCGGTTAGTTTGACCGACGGCTGGTCGAAAGCAAGCCGCAGCCCGGGCGTTTGGAAGCTGGACCGCCCATGCCATCTCCTGTCATTCCAGTGTTGGAGGTTGGCAGCTGCTCTAGGCAAAAGGGCTCCTTGCAGACGAACCGGCATACTGTGGCCATGGCAAGGAAAGAGCTACCATACCGGTGCGACTACTTCTGCAATGCAGAAGCGAGCAAGTGAGGCCTGGCGAAGTTCTCCCAGTCCCACTGAAACTCATGCCTGGTCACGTCGCAAGGGGCTATGGGGGTGGCCCCGTGCGGAGTGATAGCATAATATGAATCATTTGCCAAACGGCTCAAACCCCGAAATCAAACCACGCAAGGAAACAGAACCGACGTCTCGAGCATGCTCAAAGCAAGGCATCTGCCGCCTCTCCAGACAAAGCTGCTGCCATGCGCCGCGCATGGCCCGGGTGGGAAGGAGGCTAAGTGAGCTACCCGTAATAAGGAATAGCTTTGCTCTTCTTAGGACAGGAAAAATCAAAGTTTGAGGTTAGACTAGCAGGGGGTATACCAAACTCTTTTTGCAGGGCATCTGGGCTTCTGGTGTCTGTATTTCGAAGGCCGGCCTGAGTTCGAGAGCGGCGACAGATGCACAGACCCGGGCTCAAGGCGCTCAAAGGGTACTTACGGGTGCAGGGTTTACGCTCCAGCGTTTAGGGTTTAGGGTTTAAGGCTTTCGGCAACAGTTAAACCTTGAAGAAACCTTACACAGTCTCCACTTACCCTCGCTACGTACATCTCCACGGATCTTCCTGTCCGCCACGCTCTGAAGCTCAGCGCAGATCTATCTTTTTGCACCAGGACTTGTGCAATCGCCTGAAGGCGTAAAAACCTAAACCCTAAACCCTAGACCCTACCTAAACCCTCAACCAAACCCCTGCGTTGAACTTTTTCGGGACTGGCAGAAAACATCAGAAGAGGCGTCACTGGGAGCTACCTCCCCAAACCTTGCACAAGAACTCCGCGGCCCTGCGACGACCAAAAACAAAACCGAACTCCGTCCTAATTTCCGTAAACCCCTAAATCCCAACCAATCTGTACAGTAGTTTCACTGTAAGCCCTGGATGGGGTCGAAACCCGACGCAGTTTTTCCTGCACCGTCTACCGTCTGCCGCCCCTGCACGCCTTTCCTGTTCGCCCCATCGGCTTGCCTGCAAGAGGCTCAGAGCTAATGAGGTTTAGGACTGAAGGCTAGGATTTAGGGTTTAGCGCCTGGGCTCTGTCTTTAGGGTTGAGGTACCTCTGCGGCCAGTTAGTTCTAGTTAGATAATTTAGGTTAGATGGTCAAATGGCTAGATGGTTAAGTGGCTAGTCATCTGGTTGGATAGTTCGGTCTTTCGGTCGGTCGTTCGTTCGATCGTTCCTTCGCTCGTCAGCTGATTGGTCCGGTGGTTAAACGTTCGCTTTCGTTCCTTCGCTCCCTGGTTAGTTGGTTGGTTGGTTCGCTGACTAGCTAGTTAGCTAGGTAGCTTGCTTGCTTGCTACCTAGCCAGCCGATAGCTGGCCAGCTGGGTGGCTATAAACGCACATAAACATAGACCCGCATGCATGCATGCTTGCATACACTAGGTACCTAGATACGTACGTACATACTCACCGACTTCCTCATAAACTTAAAACGCACACAGTTTTTGAGCCCGAGCTATGCTAATACCATGTAAACGCGCTCTGATTATGCACCAAGTTAGAGCAGCACATCCGTATGTACATAAGGATAGCTATAGGGCTATATATATATATATATATATGGACACCCTTCTGAGAATATGTTACACCACTACAGTAGCCAATTCTCGCTTTGGGCATGTACGGCCAATTTTTGGTGCGTATCTGCATGCATGAATCCCCCTACTGCTGTGAAGGACGTGGCATTCCGGCTGTTGTTCCTTCCAAACCTAGCAGAGCCGAGCTCTTTTTCTCCCCCAGCTCTCGCAGAAGCGTGTCTTCCACCTCAGCAATGCGCTTCCGATCACGGCCCGTTCGATTCTGAAATTGCTTCGTTCCCCAGTCTTGCCCACAGCTGATCACATGAAGCGAAGCATTAATAAGCTGCACCAAGGTCACAGGGCTTCATGAGCTTGCAAGTCTCTGCCCTTGCAATCCTTCCACGACCATCTTAGAGATATCCAAAGTTTGCAAGGGACAGGGACACTGAATGAGTTCAGGGTCAAGGGCTCTACCATGAACTATGGTAAACCATCTGCAATCGCAGACAATTCATGCGACAACGTCGAAAACCCTGTCAGGCCTCTAGGTTCTTGTTCTTCGCATAGCACAACCCAGAGAGCCCCATACCCCTTAATGAAGGAATATACCGCAAATTAAAGGGGCCTTCATAGTATGATTTAAGGTATATCTTCATTAAGGGGTATTGGGCTCTCTGGGAAGCTCAACCGAGCATCCTGGCCAACCCCTGTGAAGCTCGGGGTCCTGGACACCTTTGGCTTAACGGAAGGTTTCAGATCCCCTCTTTTCCACTTCAGAAAGAAGATGTAGTCCCCTCGCAGAAGCTGTCTGAAGTGATAGAAGCGTCTCCGCACCAGTGGCCTTTGGGAAGCTACTTCCCTTTCTAAGCTCCAGATCCTCACTATGCTGGTCAGGACCCCCCCCCTTCTTGTGAGAAGCCCCTAAATCAAAATGCGAGTGAGGCACCTGGGTCCATGCCAATGCCCAAAGGCCACTCCGTGAGTCCGAGCACAGGCCATGCAGCCTGAACGGCCTGAAGCCACTTTTCTCTGGTGTTTTCACTGGGGCTCGCGCATATGCTTTCGGACAACTGGTCTTGGAGCGTTTTCGGGATTTAGGCGTTCGGAAGTGGCTAGGTTGGGGTTGCAAAAGACTGCTGAAGGCTTGCACCCTTGAAAACTCCGGGCCTAGAGCCTTGCGGGCCTCGGCGCTCCTAAATGTCCCTCAATTCTTCCATGTCTTCTCTTCGGGCCATCCGGAGAGTCCCTTGCCGTACCATGACAAGCCCATTAGGGTTTAGGGTTTAGGGCTTTGTTTGCCTCCCAGGGTTTAGGGTTTAGGGTTTAGGGCCATTATTCAAGCACTACACCAAGATTCGCTACTGGCTTCGAGCCTTCGCACGGTTCCGTCCACGCTCAGCCGCCGGATTGGAATCCGTCCATGCCCCTCTGGCTGAAAACCCTGGACACCCCTCCACCCCAAAGCTTGGACACATCTGGATGGGTTAGCCCGGAGCCTAACAAACCTAGATGTGCAGGAGCCTCAGAGAGCGACTCCCCGTCCGCATCCAATGGGTCATCCTTTTCCCGGCTGGTGTTTCGAAGGAGTTCGTGTGTTGGGCTCAAGGCTTAGGGATGCATGTGGATGCAAAGCCTCAATGCCACGCTTCGAGCAATCAAAGGCCTCAGAAGCGTATTCGATTTAGGTCTTACGCATGCGGCAGGAGATAGCCTTGGTCACCATGGTCAGCTTGGTACGATAGTGTCTCGACCCGGATGCCCGGCAGAGTAGGGTGAGGGGGGATTCTCCAGGTCTTAAGTGACGAATTCAGGGTCTTGATCAAGTCGGAACAGCTTAGGGATTTTATGAGGGCTCAAGGCTGAGGAGCCCGCTGAGAAGCCCGCTCAGAAGGGGGAAGTTTTGAGAATCAGCACGTTCCCTTTTCGGGCTCACTTGCAGTGTTGGCATCGTTGCGCGCCTCACTGAGGGACTCGCCGTCCCATTCTTTCTGCAAGCAAGCCTGCAGAGGGGCATGGCGGGATGATGTGACGAAGGTCGCAAGGCAAAACACAAGCGGAAGATCCGAGCACATTCACGTACACTTACTTCTTTGTATGTAAGTGTAAGTATGCATGTATGTATGTATGTATGTATGAACGAGTGCATGATTTATGTGTGTGTACATATCTACATCTATATATCTATATCTATATATATATATCTATATATATATATATCTATATATCTATATATATATACATATCTATATATCTATATATCTATATCTATATCTATATATCTATATATATATATACATATCTATATATCTATATATCTATGTATCTATATGTGTGTGTGTACATACATGTGTGTATGTCTGTATGTCCTTGTATCGGTGTCTGCGTGCTCGTATGTCTGTATGTCTTTGTGCCTGTATGCATGTGTGTCCGTACCTCTGTCTGTCTGCCGGTACGTCTGCTGTATGTCTGTCTGTACGCATGCACATGCTTGGAAAGAAGTGTAAATGCGTGGAAATGTCTGTAGATAAATGTACGTAGATGTTGAATTTAATGCGAACGTAAATGTACGTAACTGCACGTATGCATGGCGAGCTTTCCTTACACTGTTTACATGCTGTACTTGAACGGCTCTGTGCATGTTTAGTCTTGCATCTACAGGAATCAGGGTTAGGGGGACCCTTGGGGATATAGACCGTCTCAATAAGGTTCCTTTTCGGAGAGCCACAAGTCTCTCCTTTAAGGGGTCTCCCTAAATCTACCTTTGAATCTAGAACGACGTCGCCTTCTCCCCTTCGCCGGGCGATCGGATCCCCGCACGCTGCCGCCGGGCAGGGTCGGCACTGTGCCAGAAGCGCTCGAAGTGGCAAAGCCGCAGCACCTATTATGTTGTGTTTCAGCACTCGCACTCGGAGATGCCTGGGCGGGTTTTTTGATTTAGGGTTTCGAGTTTAGGGTTTAGGGATCAAGGTTTAGAGATTGGGGTTTATAGGGGAACCATCACTACTAACATCACAAATGCTGTTTCTGCCACCCGGCCCAAGTCCTAACCCAAAGCCGTACCACACCTCAACCCACACCCCAGACTCCAAACACGAGCACCAAACCCTTTCGGACGGTGCGACTTCACAAAGCAAACTCGCGCAAGCAGAGCTTTCGTCTCTGGAAGCAGAAGCTCCAAGAGGCGGCCTCGAACGAGCATAGCAGAATAATTATCGGCCGTGTCCAATATGACCACAAAGAGGGGGCGAAACAAGCCTGAAACCACAACTTTCCAAATCCCCCACACTCTAAACACGAGAGGCCAGCCTCAAGAAACTTCGAAAAAGCATGAACCCACGAATTCCAAAAGTTCCCCCAAGCCTCCACAACCAAGCACCCACCCCAAACTTCCCCCAAAAAACCCTTCAAACCCGACGCCCTAGACCCTTTTTTTGGCATCGGGGCTTGGGAAGTCGGCCTGGGAAGATGATAGAAAACTGCAGCATCCAAAACCTCAAAACCCTATATATTATATATTTGTATGTCATGTATTATGTATTACATATTATGTATTATATTATATTATATTATATTATAGTATATACTATATTATATTAATTATATTATATTGCACTGTATGAGGTCCCAGGTGCGCAGGCCGCCACGGGAAGCGTCGAGTTGGCCAGGCCCCGAAGCCGCGCGGCATAGGGGGCCCGGGGGGCTGTGCCTCGCAGGGCTTTGGGCTCTTCGGCCTTCTGCTTAGGAGTTCGGGTGTTTTTGTTGTTGTTTTTTTTTGCGGTTTTCCCACCCGTTTTTTGCTGTTTTAGGGTTGGGTTTGGGCTTCAGGGGTTCGTCCTGAGGGTATTTTTGTTTAGGGCTTAGGGATCTCACATCTCGGACAAGCCAGGCGAGGTTCCCTGGGTGCCCGTCGGCGTGAGCCTAGGGCTTAGGGATCTTTTCTATGGGGCTTGTGCAGAGTTTGGGGCTTGGATCAGGAGATAGGACTAGGATTCAGAAAGACCACATGGAGGGCTTATCGAGGGGTTCGAGGAATCGGTGCGAGCTGTCTCAGTGGGGGTTGGGGATTCCAGATTCCAATGGCTGTGCTTTGTTTAGGGCCTTAGGGTTTAATTCGGGTTTAGGGTTTTTCCCTCCGGGTTTAGGGTTTAGGGCCTAGGGTTTAGGCTTTAGGGTTTAGGGTTTAGGGGTGTTTGGACTCTCGCAACTCGGACGCTGAAGCTCCCAAGACCCGCCGGCGACGTGCCTGGATCTTGCCAATGCGCCAGCTTCGCCTCTTCTAGCAACATGGAGCTACCAAAACGAGTCCGAAACAGACCTGGGCCCCCCAAAGAACCTACCCTTTTTAGGCTTCCTTGTTATGATTTCCTTAAATGTCCTTATATAAGTCCTTCAAAAAGGGTGGGTTCTTTGGGGTCTAGGGATTGCTTGAAGCCGACACGCCCCGCTGTCTTAAGAGAGCCGCCTGCAGCTCCGGGTCCTGATCGTTCTTGGCTTTCGCGTCGGTGTCCTAGGGTTTAGGGTTTAGGGGTTTAGGGGTTCTGGGGTTTAGGGGTTTAGGGTTTAGGGGTTTAGGGTTTTTTTTCCCTAGGGTTTAGGGTTTAGGGTTTAGAGGGTTTAGGGGGCAGAGCACCGCAGGCTGGGTCTGGGCATTTACTGCAGCCGTAAAACCCCCCAAACTGAAACCCCCAAACCGCCAGAGACTTCTTTCTCTTTCAAGGAACCCTTGAAGGAACTTAATAAGGAATCTACCATTCCTGAAGGGCCCCCTTAGACGAGTTCAAAAAAAATCGTAGGCCTCTGCGGCACCCTCAAAGGAGCCCTGAAAGGAAACGAAAACGGAATCCCTTTAATTAACGGAACCCTAGGCCCCTATAGCACCCTTAAGGAATCAAAAAAAGGAATCCCCTACAGGAGCCACTTCAAAGGAACCCTAAGCCCCTTGAAGGAACCCCTACCTTTAAACCCCCCCCCTCCCTGCCCTAAACCCTAAACCTAAACCCTCAACCCTGAACCCTAAGCCGTTGAAGGAACCGTCAGCCCCAACCCCCACCTCCGTGATCTCCGCAAAGAGAAGCGCCTCCAACCCCGCGGGGAACAAAGGCGGGAAGATGGACCTGGGCGCTTCCAGGTTTGGAGTTTAGGGGTTTTTTCCCTCTCGCATGGCTAAGGAGTTTAGGGTTTAGGCTCTCACAACTCGGACATGCCAGGCGAGGTCAATGGGAGTTTAGGGTTTAGGGTTTTTGTGCTTTTGGTTTCAGCACTCACTCTCGGACTTACCTTGGCGAGGTTCCTGGTACGACGAACGCACATTGGCGAAGCAAGGATTTAGGATTTAGGCCCTCTGGTATACGGCGTCCTTTGATCGGTGTTTTTTGAAGGGTTGTTGTTGAAAGGGTTCCGAGAGAGGCTTCCTCTGGAAAGGGTCCGCCTCGCTCTCGCAACTGGGACAAGCTAGAGGAGGTCGAGGGCTTTGGGGAGTGAGGCCGTAGGTTCTGCCTTGGCGTTTGGGATCAAGGTGGATAGGATCTGCTAATAAAAAAGCCTGGGGACCAGTCGCGCCAGCAGTCCAGAACTTGCCGAACAGCCTCAGCTTCGGATGTGGTTGGGGTCTGGGCTCCTTCAAGGGATTTCCTAAACCCTAAACCCTAAACCCAGTTTTGGGCTCCTCTCTGAGAACTTTAAGGATCCATCGCTCGACTCTCGCAGCTCGAAGAAAGCGCGGTGATGTTTGGGGCCGTCTGCCACTTGGCCAGGGCCCAGGATTCAAAACACTAGGCTTTTTTGTGTGTTCATGCTTCAGGGCTGCTGCGCACGCTGGCCCACAGCAGCAATAGCAGTACTGCTAACGATCACCGCCCAGCATAAGACTGCCGCGAATACTATGCAGAGCTACATCCAACAGCCGAAACCCGAATGCTCACAACAATGTCAACATATATATGTATATCTATATATATATATGTGTGTGTCTGTGTGTGTATGTATGTATGTATGTATGTATGTATGTATGTATGTATGTATGTATGTATGTATGTATGGATGGATGGATGGATGGATGGATGGATGGATGGATGGATGTAAACATATATATAATTTATTATTACCATCATCACCACCATCATCATCAAAACCCTCATCATCATCATCATCATCACCATCATGCTGTTGCTTGCTTGCTTGCTTGCCTGCCTGCCTGCCTGCCTGCCTGCGTGCTTGCTTGCTTGCCTGCTTGCTTGCTTGCTTCCAGCCCTAAGGACCACCCCTCCGGTGGGGTGAGCTCCCCGCGCACGTACACGCAGCATGCTGACATGCTGGCATGGTAGGTTGAAGTTGCTCTCTCTCTCTCTCTCTCTGCCATCCTCGAGGCTCTCGCTGCGCAAGGGCACGCAATGGCAGACGTGTTTTTATACTCTTGTTTTGAGCACTGCTTTTCATCTAAGTCCCCAATATCCAAGCAGCCGCTTCAGACCGGGACTGTCTCAACGACTGCCTCCCTTTCCCTCGCAGCCAGAAGCCAAACTGCTCGCAGGCCCCCGGAAGCAACTCCTGCCTGCGATTCTGTAGGGGCGGGTCGGGGGGGGCAGGGGGTGTCTTGATGTAAACTTAGAGGTGCCCGATTGAAGGCCATCTATAGGTGCTGGAGAAGAGCTTGATAGAAGTCTAAACGGGTCCTACGAAGGCCCGGGTTTTTGCTCTATATGAAGGGGGTTCTTAGCATTCGGGAGACCTTGTTTTGGGGGTCTATCTGGGGCTTCACCTGAGCCTCTGTGGTCTGATCCGTACGATTCCTAGACTGCAACTTGAGCAGCGACTTACATGCTCTGTTTCGCTTCGCCGCTTGGCAACTTCCGTTTCGGGTCGGGGGCTTCAGGAAGGTGGGCACTGAGGTTGCGAATATTCAAGAGGCAGCTGTAACCACCTGAGTGGGGCCACCAAATAACAGGAGTCGAATGAATCCAAGATTCTTGGACTTAGCAGGATTCCTCCCCCAGCCTGCCCACCCCAAACCCTGTGCACAAGCAGGAGGGTTGCGTAGGCGTTCGGAAGCCGAGAGTGTTTTGGCGGGGCACAGGAGGAGGGTGCGAGGCTGCTTGCTGAGCGCGGCCCACAGCGAGTGACCGAGAGAAAGCCTGCACTTCTTGAAATAGTATCGAGATGTCAGGCAACAATCAAAGGTGCCAGCATGCTTAAAGTCGACATCCACCAAGAAGGTTCAGCACACAGCTGCACAGCACAACACACATCCGGATCCCCACAGCAAATTCCTCTTGGCAACGAGGCATGAAGTCTCTCTCTTGCTTTCTATCGTAGGTCCGACGAAGCCTCGTTTTCTCGCTCTTAATGCTCGCTCTCTCTCTCTCTCTCTCGCCCTCCCTCTCTCTCCTTTGCGTATCTCTCGTCTAGATAAAGCAGACAAAGAGACACAGAGAGAGAGAGAGAGCTCGAAACCCTGAACCCTTTTCCACAGGCTTGAACTGAGCTCGCCCGGCCAGATCCCAACCCTGAACCCTAAACCCTACACCCTACACCCTAAAACCCTGAACCCCAAACCCTAAACAACCTCACATTGGGTCGGGCCGCAGGGTGCTCCGGTAGCGAGTTGCCCCACGAGAGCTGCTCAAGGCGGAGTTATGGAGGATGTCGCTGATCAGGAAAATCCTCAGCACTCGCCCGCTTAGGGCAAACTATCGTGCTGAAAAGGCTGTTAAGGAAGAGGGGCACACGGCTCTTTGGCTCAATAGTGAGACAACTGTGACAGAGCTTGCGTAAAAAAACACGTGCGGATAAGGCCGGGTACCTGGTACCCCGACTACGCCCCAGTGCAACATGTGAGCATTCAGCTCATGCACACTATTATATGTATCAATGTCAAACTCTCGGCAGAAACCTGCAAAACATAGGCTCAGGCTTTACTACTCTCTCAACATGTTGAAGGGGTGTGTATATGCCGCCGCAATTTACCAGACATGACACATGTTCAGTATAAAGCTGGTACGCATACACAACATCACAATTAACGTCGGACATGAGCCGCTGGTAGTCATAAACCTGACGCCTAAGTAACCGAAGAACTCTGAATGCCTTCACCAAACATAGTTTACGATAGTGCGAGCGCACGCATGGTTACTACACGCGATGGCCACAGCACAGATGACACATACCATACACATGTACAGTTGCATTCACATACTGCTGAATGAAATACATGTGTATGTGTGAAAATGTGTCTCTCGACATATGTGTGTGTGAGTGGGTGACATCGACTCAACACAGACATGCGAATAACCGTATGCTGGTTCAAAGCATTTCTTGAGCAGGGACTCATCCTCTGCCATGGAAAGGACATATCACATCACGTCACATCACAGCACACCACATCCCACCACATCCAGACATGCGCGCATGCTCAGGGTTTACGCTCTCGCAACTCGGACAATCTGGGCATGCTGAGGGTTTTTTGCTGACTAGGTCGCACTGCAGGGAAACTGCACTCCATGACTGCAACGACAAGAAGAGCACGTCCCGGGACCTCTGTACTCTCAGCAGGCTTAGGGATTTTTTCCCTCCCAGATACTTAGGGTTTAGGGTATGCAAGCAAGCCAGACACCGGGCCAGGCCGGTGTCGATGGTCAGCTCGCGCTCCTTCAGGGCGGAGGCCCAAAGAAGTTGGACTCTGCAAGTCAGGAGGTTAGCTTCGAAGGCGTAGGATCTCATGCGGGGTTAGGGTTCTCAAAAGGTTTTTCCAGAATTCTGAGACCCTTTTCGGTCCGGCCAAGGTTTCGGGCTAAAGGATTGGGGCGGCATTGGCATTGTTGCAATTTTTACATGCGATTACTGTCTTTGGTTTACCATCGCTGGGCTGCCGTAGGTTCCCATTGCCAGACTTACCCTTGTGCCTCATACTACGACTTCCACTACAATTTCCAAGGTAGTTGCCGCTGGTGCGATTTCGGTGAGTTTGGGCCAAGGAGGCTTGAAGGCCTTGGTGTGAAGCGTTGGGGCTTTCGTTGTCTAGGCTTTCCCAGTAGCCCCATGAATGATAAGGGTACCCTTTTCCCTGCTATTGGGCTTTACAAAAGGGGCCCAAAAAGGGTACTACTCAAAAAACTAGATTTCGATTGTTGCAGCCAAGAGGTTGGGTCCTGGGGTTCCGAGAACTTTTGCACTACACCTTCAGACGAGAGAGCTTTCAAGCAGCGTGCTGTAGTCTAGTTCCTTTACAGGTTCTGTAAGGGAGTCTAGAAGGGCTACAACAGTCTATAAGGCTTCTAATCCAGGGGCCTACTTCGACTAGGGTGGCGTAAGCTATTAGAGGTATCGACAGGCTATGTGATTGCTGATTATTCCAGACCTACACACGACAGACCAAAGGCAAGTCCTGTAAGAGAAATCGCTTCAAGTGGAAGCTACGACATTAACGTTTGAAGCGGCCTTCACAAAGATTGGTGAATCGGGCATTGCCACGCGTCTGGCGTGCCGGCGTCACGCATCGAAGAAGTTTTCTAGCTTTCAGTTTTTTTGGGGGATTTCGGGCTGGTGCTGGCTGGCTGCTTTTCAACGATTTCAGTCCCGGACAAGGTCCTCCAAGGACTTGGCTAAAGCTCGCGACAGCATCGGGGCGCTTTCTGCGCAGTCCAGGCAGTAGATCATTGCCTTCCACTCGGAGCTTCACTAAACCAAGCGACTACACCTCAAGCTGCCAATTGCAACCCTAGCTCCGGCGACTGCTCTTCTGCTGATGGTGGTGCTGAGTGCCATGACAATGATGGTGATGATGATGATGATGGTGATAGTGATGATGGTGACGGTGATAGTGATGATGATGGTGAAGATGGTGATCACGATGATGATGACGATGATGCTGGCACACGTGCTGATGATGGTGATGCTCTTGCTGATGTGACTGCTATGTTGGCGGCTATTGTCGTGGGTACGCATTGTCATGTGTCTCCCGTCATGAATACTGCAAAACGATGAACCGTTTAATCAACACCAGCGAGCTATCCTGGCCTTCGCGATGTGCCACCGTGCGCGAGTGAGCCCCGCCAAGTGATTCTCAAGCTCCTTTCTTGTTGTCTTCACTCGTGCCGTGTATATGCACCTTGCTGTCTCGGCAGCTGACGCAACGTCCACATTGAACCCTAGACTGCAAAGCCGAGACAGAACCCAACGTAGCCTGATGGCCTGAAGCTTTTGCCTTGCTGGCTGTCGCAAAGCTCCTTGAGCTCACGCTCCCGGTCGACGACGGAGCTCTCTGAAACCACCGTAGCCGTGTCCTTTGATGCCGAAGCCGTAAACCGAGTACAGTAGGGTGTCTTCAGCTGCAGGTTTTTCGTCAAAGAAACCCCACACGTTGATCCCAGGCCCACAGGATCGGCACCAAAAGCCGGAACTCTCTTGCGGAGACAAATGGCCGTCTTGTCCAGGGGCGTCTTGCTCCCGATCTGCGGGGCACTGTTGGAAGCTTTCCTGGCATTTTTACATGTAGCTGTTTCAGAGATTGGGGGGATCCTCTTTGGGATCTTTGTGATTGCGGAACCCTAGAGGAAGTCACTCGGATCCCAAGCCAGTCTTGCCTAGCTTGGAATTGGAAGCATCAAGACTTTACCGGACCGACATGGAGACTCTGTGGCGTAACCCGCAATAGGTGGTGTCTCAGACAAAGCAAGGGCTGCCAAGGTGCCCAGGCGACGCATACTTCCGGCCGTTCTCCTCTTGCATCGCTTGCCGTTTCATTGCTCTCGTAACCGATCCAAGGGACGAGTGTAAAGCTCCCACGCCAGTAAACAGATGTAGCTGACGGCATGACCCGTGACAAACCCCGGCAACATGGCTCCAAACCAAGAACTCCTGCCTCGTAGATGCAGAAATGCCGGGCCAGCCCAGCCTGCGGCTTACGATGAATCAATCCGTTCTGACCTCTACCGTCTCATTCGTCTTTCCCCTGGCTTCAGCAGTTTCGGACTAAAGCCTTCAATGTCCTGGCTACTTCTGGACTTGACACCACACACAGATCCTATCGACATCTATCCATCCTAGGTCCCACAGCATGAATGCCTCTCCGTTCCTGATCTTGCAGGCACCCATGCCCCTCACCGCCCAATCGGACAACGACGCCTCGTCCACGCCGAAGAGCACGGACAGGCGCGAGACGCGCTCAGAGCCTCCGGCTTTCCTGAGGTAGGCATCGATGGCGGGAACCTGCCAGAGGGACAGCGACGGCTGTTGAACGTTGATGTTGATTCTGGTGATGATGGCAGTGATGATGATGATGATGATGGCGGTGATGATGCTGGTGATGATGACGACTGATGTTGATGTTGGCGACGATGTTGGTAATGATATGATGACAACGATTCTTCCTATTCTGGCGATCAAAAGCTGAAGGTGACGACGGCAACGGTGCAAAGGTGGTTCTGCTCGTCAGCACTGAGGGAAGGTGATAACGCTGATGCTGATGGTGAACCTGACACCAGCCGGGTGCTGGCGATGATGATGGTGGTGGTGGTCTGGTCATGATTTATGTAGCTCTAGCGACAGCAGGCATAAGCAAGCTGGCATCTGAACTTTCAAGGGGAAGGACTCCTTCCATCCGAGCGGTCCGGAACTTGGGGAGTTCTCATCTTGAATTCAGCTGCCTGGCAGTACCCCTTTACGTAGGTCCCGCAGCCACCCTATGTGGACCCGGCCTCCCCGAGGGCCGGCGCGGCCTGGCCAGAAACGCACCAGGCGAAGGGGGACAGTGATGAAACAGAAACAATGTCCCCTGAAAGTTTTCACGATTACAGCAAAGATAGGCCTAAAACCTTATTCTACGAACATCGAAGCGGTCAGAACCGCAACAGCGACACTCAGACTCACTGAAACAGCACGAAGATGCTGCGTCGTGCATGGCTCGCGGCTGAGGGCTCTGGGCTCAAGGATTGGGAGCTTCGAGTCGACAATTTGAGGTTTTGGCTTTAACAGTTTAGCGTCGACACGTCCAAGAAGTTGCTTGGGACTCTGCTTGCAGCGGGGCCTTAATCGAGGACGGTGCATGACCCAATGCTCAATTTGGGATTCAACTCTCAAGACACCTGACATACACTTAGAGCTTTGCAGAAACATTTTCTGTGGGAGTCCAACCCTGTCTTTGCGGCACCGGCACAGCCTCTCCGATTAGCTTCACCATGGCCTGTCACAAGAGAGAGCGAAGCGTGGAATGATGACGCAAGGTGGCGGCCTATACCTAGGCCCTAAAAACCGAATGACATCAACGAGCACGTCTAACGCGTTCCCGCAGCTGCAATCCTACTATCGCCTCCTCATCGGTCGTTTTGCGTCAATCATGCTCGGGCCAAGCAGGCCTTGTCGGGCACATGGCCGTGTGTCCGTTCTAACTTCTTACTTTCTGCAGCCTACTCTGGAAAAACATGGGGCTGGACTGAGCTAATCGAGAATCTAGATGTGCAGGCTCAGGCATCTCAGATGATCTTCAGCTTCGTCAAAACCAGGTAGGAGCCAAAGGCAAAGGCCGTGAGGAAGGTGGTCAAGCCGAAGTAGCCGATGACCATGAAAGGAGTGAACTCCCCTGTCATGTTGTAGTTGAGGTACTCATCGGCCGCAGAGGCCACTCCGGGTGCTGCGGCAATGCTGGCGGCACCAGCCAGGCCCCTGAGGGATGGGGCCTCAGCACGGGGGCCCGGCACGAAGACCAAGGAGACGAGGCCCAAGGACACCAGGAGGGACGCGAGAAGGCCGGAGCGTGCTCGGGCGGCCGCCATGACTCGACGAGGTGTTCGTCTGGGAGTTGCAAAGCTCTCTCTGATCTGCTCTCGAGCAACAGCCTCAGCTGCAGGTACCCAACATCATGTGCGAGACACCTTTCGAAGACACGCATGTGTAGACATGTACGTATACGCACACACATACGTACAGACATGCATACATACATACATACATACATACATACATACATACATACACATATACAAAAAGTACACACAACACAGAACCAACATATATGACACATGTACACAACACATACGAATACACCCATTTGTCATGCTAGTTCTGCTCATTGAACCTACATGCATACTCGCATCCATCCATCCATCCATCCATCCATTCATCCATCCATCCATGGTCCATCCATCCATCCATCCATCCATCCATCCATCCATCCATCCATCCGTCTATCCGTCCGCACACGCTAAACGCACATCTGTACAGCCATGGGCCATACATGCATGCATGCATAAAAACACAAACATGTACAATACGTAAACACACACATACCTGCATATGCATACATATTCGCACGTTGTACTTGCGGCTGCCTCCTCCGTGCATGATCTGCCACGAGAATCGAATCTTTGGGAAAAACACACACACACCTACATTGCAACCCTGCTGCGCAATTTCCGAGAACCCATTCCGAATGCAACACCCTCCATGTGCTGGTAATCCGCCCCCCGCCTGACCGGAAGGACTGCTTGACACCTCCATGCACCAGGCAACACAAAGGATTGATGTCTTACAACTCATGCTGATACACTGCTTCGACGACTAGGTACAGGATGAGGCCGTGAACGGCTCCACAGTTCTACCCGATGCTCACACTCTGAAAAAACCGTCGCAAGAAGTGCACATCACGGACGAAGCCCCTCAAGTCCTGATGGCACGAAGTCTCAACGGCCCCATCACTCCTCGAAAGATGTCGCTCGTTCCAAGAGGAACGTCTTCAATTGGCCTTGTCGTCCGGACAGGAGTGGATATGTAAGTATATCTTTGTGTATATACATGTACCATCTTTACACACATCCGATCACCACCAACTCAATCGACACTGCACCAAGCATAAGACGAAGTGCACACAGCGCAGTCAGTCTCCGTCTGCTGGTGGAAGAAAGGTGTTGAAGAAGCTCGGGCCCCCACTGTTGGGCTTGACCAAGCCACTCTTCTCCAGCTCCTTCCACCTCGGAGCCGTTTCGGAGCTTCCTTCTTGTTGAGGTCCTGACATGTTCTTGTTGGGATCATGATTCTGATGAGCATAGTTATTGTTGTGAATACTGATACTAATATTGATTTTGTTGTAATTCTTTTTCATACTATTATTCGTCTTATTCTTGGTATTGTCAGTACTGTTCGTGTTGATATTATTGTGATTACTGTTATTTTTGTTCTTGTTGTCATTACTGCTCCTATTGTTCGTATTGCTCTTATTGCTACTATTATTATTATTATTCTTCTTAATATTATTATTATTATTTTGAATTATTATTATTAGTATTATTATTATTATTGTTATTATTATTGGTATTATTATTTTTATTAATTCAGTATTATGGAAAGTTCTAAAGCTTAAGCTTCCGGGAAAGCCCCGGACCCAGAAGCACCAAGGCAGCTGCGAGGCCTCGATTGATGTTCTGAGCTGTCATTGGCCATGGTATCTGTACTAGCATCACCGTCTCACTGTTAATCTTACCATAAGAATGAGTGTCAAAGCTAATATGCCCAGCCTTGGCATCCTGAGCTGTCAATGACTATCACTAGGAGTCGCTCATTTTTATAGCTCCTCTGCGCCTGAAATTCCGGTGAAGAAGGCCCAGGACTCTGCAGCTAGGGCTCTCCTGGTGGATGCGCTTGTCCTGCAGAGGGTTTCCGAACAT